TTCTTTCAGTCCCTTTGAAGTTTCTTGTGTTTTGTTCCTCCCCATTGGTGATAGATCAGCCCCGCTATTGTGGCATAAAGTACCTTCCTTTTAAGTTGAGTTCTTCCCCAGACTCTAAGGACCATCCTTCTCCAACCATGTTGAGTGCAAGGTAGATTGATCTGGAGCCATTGATTCACTAACTTTAACAGTTCTTTAGAAAATTTTCACTCAAAGAAGAGACGCTCTGCAGTTTCTTGGTCCTGTTGGCACCAAACACAAGTTGGATCCACTGCACTAACATTTTGTTGAGTCTATCTTTAGTTAATAGTCTCCCCTTCCAACAGAGCCAAGAGATAAAAGAATGCCTTGGTACATTGAACCTAGACCAAATGAACTTAGCTGTAGGGCATCTGTTTACCTCCCCCATCAACCAACTATAGCCAGAACTGACAGTATAATTACCAGTTGCTGAATAATTCCATTTACCATCCACTACTGCTTTTTCATCTTTTCCTTTAGCTTCACTAATTGTTTCCAGTGCCAGCTGGAGTCTTGCTTATGTTGCAAGCTCCATAGATCACCATCCTTTACATAATGTTCGTGTATCCCTTTAACCCAAAGATGATAAGATTTTCTTGCTAAATTCCAAACCTGCTTAAATAGTGCAGCTTCATTCTATCTTTGTGCATCCTTTATGCCTAACCCACCTTCTTTTTTTGGTCTGCATATTACTTCCCAGCTGACTAGTGGTATTTTCCTCCCATTCTCTTTCACACCCCACAGAAAGTCCCAGCATGCTCTAGTAATTTGTTGAGTGATGCTCTTTGGTACGATGAAGGCCTGTGCCCAGTAAATGTTCATGGCCATCAATACACTGTCAATTAATTGGACCCTCCCAGCATATTTGAAATGCCTAGTACTCCAACATTGGATTTTTGCCACCATCTTCTGCACAAGCATATCACACTCTGTCTGGTTCCACTTCCTGGGTGACAAGGGAACACCCAGGTACTTCATTGGAAATTTTTCCTCACCAAAACCCGAGATTATAAGAATATCTTGTTTGGTACACTCCGAGACTCCACCAAAATACACAGCTGACTTGGATGAGTTAGGTCTGAGACCCAAAGTACCTGCAAATTCTTCGAACACCTGCATAACTTTCGTAATAGTATAGTTTTCAAATTTGCAGAATATCATCAAATCGTTGGCGAAACAGATGTTTGTGAGCATTAGGCTTCTGCAATGGGGATGGAATTTGAACTTCGGATCCTTGGTAGCTTCCTTCATCAGACGGGACAAAAATTCCATTGCCATAACAAAAAGTAATGGTGACATAGGGTCACCCTGTCTAAGTCCCCTTGGCCCTCGAAAAAACCACAGTTCTCACCATTTATTCCTAGAGTGTATGAAGTGGATCTGATACATTCCATAATCAGGTTACTAAAAGATCTAGGAAAATTATATCCCTCCAGCATCTCCTCTATGAACTCCCATTCCAGAGAATCATAGGCTTTCTTTATATCTATTTTAAACAAACAGTGACCACTTATATTTCTCCTCCCATACAATCTTACAAGTTCCTGAGTGAGCAATACATTATGCAAAATAAATCTACCACTAACAAATGCACTTTGGTTTGCATCAATTAACTCAGGCAAAACACATTTCAAACAATCTACCACTAACCACATTGCAACAGGTTATTGGCCTTTATTCTCAGGCATTCTAAGGGGCTGCTGTTTTTGGTATCAGTACTAGGGTTGTAAAGTTCATCTGCTTCAGCAATTTCCCATTTTTAAAAAATTCCAACACTGCCCTGTCCACTATGAATGCTCCATACAACATCTTTGACTTCCTGCGGTTTAACGTCCCTGATTAGTAGCATCTGTTGCTTCCAGTCAAGTTTATTCCCCCAGCCGAAAACCGCTTCCCTTGAGCTTTGTCTATCACTTTTTTGTCCCAACTGTCTCTGAAAGAAATCTGTGAAATGCTTGAGGATGATGCTCCAGTCAGTTATCAGTTTCCCTTCTTCACTTACACTTGCGCAGATTCGATTTTGCATACTTCTAATTCTCATCTTTGCATGAAAGAAAGCACTATTAGTATCTCGTAGTTTGATCCATGCTCTTTAGCTTTCTGATGAAGAAAACTTTCCACTGCCTTACTAATCTCCACATACTTTCGGCATTGTTCCCTTTCCAGCTCCTACAAGCACTCATCATTAGGGTTAGCATGTAACATGTCCTGCGTGTGTTTCAGCTGCTCTTTCCAATATTGTTGTTGCACTTGTATCTCAACATACTTTTCCTTGTTCATCCTTTTTAGAACTGGCTTCAGCCTTTTGAGCTTCTTGGCTATCTGGAACATTCGAGTGCCCTGAACCTCCTGTGACCAACTTTCACTTACAATTTCTGTGAAGTTCTCAGCCTGGCACCACATATTAAAGAATTTAAAAGGCCTTGGATTCTTTATCACTTCCCATTCTATCTGAACTAAAATTGGGCAGTGATCCGAGATACCTTCATTCAACACCGTAGCTATTGAATTAGGGTACCCCAGAATCCATTCTCCATTGACTAGTAATCTGTCAATTCTGGACCATATTCTATTCGAACCTACCTATTTATTAGTCCATGTAAATCTGTTACCTTGTTGTTTCAAGTCTTGTAGCTCACATTCTTGGACACACCGTTGGAACCCCTGCGTTTCCATAACTGAAACTCTATTGCCTCCCAACCTTTCATCATTATAGAGGACATTATTATAGTCCCCTAAAGCTATCCAAGGTACCTGCACACTACCAGCTATAGTAATCATCTGCTCCCATAATTCTGCCCGTTCACCTAAACTGTTAGATCCATATACTGCTATGACAGCTATACATTCACCATCTAGCTTTTTCCTCATTAAATAGTGCACCAGTTCTTGAGAAACATTTAGAATGGTAACCTCTACTAATTGAGGATCCCATAATAAGCAAATTCTACCCTTCTCATTAACCTGAGTATTTGAGAAGATCCCATAACTAGGCCAAAACTTATTTTGAAACTCCATTACTCTTTCCTGATTCAGTTTAGTCTCACCAAGACATATAAAACTAATATTAAATTTAGAACAAATTCTACTAACCTCCTTTTGTTTCAGGGGACTGTTCAAACCCCTTGTATTCCAGTGTAAGAGCTTTTACATGGATACAAGGGTCAATTTGCCGGATTGTCCCCTTTACAACTTCATTTGCTGTCTGTTGCTCATCTTCAGTAACCACTTCCACCTCTTCTGTTCCAGCCTGTACATTTTCTTCTACCATTTGAGCCAGCAGTGTGAAACTATTTCCATCATCATTAACAAAAACTGCCTTACTCTTTCTGGTAGCTTTAATTGTTCACCTTTCTTCTTATTTATTTCCAGCCCCTCTGTTTCCATTGCCTGTTGAAATTTACCAGGTGTTGTCAACCCTTGTTTCCCCTTGTTACAATCCTCCACTCAGTTTTCTCTTTTTCCTTGTTGAGAGACATTTCCTTTACCTCATGTTTAGCCTTTTCAGCCAATTGCTTTTTCCTACAGTGCTCCACACCATGACCATAGTTACTGCAATGGCTACATTTTGTAGGATGCCACTCATAATACACGGGTTGTTCACAACCACACCTTGTTCATCAACGAAATGTGCTGTCAGGGGAGGTTGATCCTGTATTTCAACGTCCACTAATACTCTAGCATAAACCACTCTGTCCTTATAAGTGGTTGGTTCATCAGCAGCTATTGGGATTCCAGGGTGCTAGCAATTCTACCCAAAGTATCAAGGTTCCAAAATTTCAATTCAAGACCCGAGAACTGCACCGAGACATGTACATGCTTGATATCTTTATGATTCAAACCCTTAGCCACATCCCAAGGTTTAACAACAACTGGATTTACCCCCATATGATAAACAAGAACTTTTAAAGCTTCATCTCTAGCATTATCAGAGACAAATTTAATTAGATACATACCAGAGGGGAGGAGAAGCACTTTTTCAACTCCCAAATTTTGCCACAGTTGCTTGTTTCCATGACTTTAATCGGGGGGTTGCCACCTAATACATAACTGATTGCCGACGAACGCCAGTATTCCGCCTCCAATATCACAGCCTCTTTTTGAACAAACGCCAGCTGCTTGCCTTCTACCAATTGCGGCTTGAAGAAAGCCAACGAAGCCCCCACTTTTTTCATCTTTTTCGCATCAAAAGACGTCCACGCCATAGAGTTATCCTGTTTTCCTTGTCCATTATCCTCCGGCCAAACCAGCCGGCGCGATGTACTGATACCCAGTAGTTCACTTAGGGTTTGTAATGCTTCCGGTTCCGATCTCGATGGCTCCCCTACCTCTGAACAACTCTTTCCTATTCCCAGATCTGGTTCACCTCGCTCTATTTCCAGAGTCTCCTTCGGTGAAATTGCTTCCCTAGTCAACAAGCTTTCTGTTCCGGTCTCCTTTGCCGTCTTCTTCCCCCTGCCCTTTCCTTTTGCCATGGCGGTGCACTTTAGCAGGATATCTTGCACTGAGAGAGAAAAGAAGAGGAGAGAGAAAACATCAGTGATTTTTACAATTCTGAAGTTAGTGAGTTTTAATTTTTATTGCGGGTAAATTCATTGCACTTTTAATTTTCCAGCTTCATCCGTTGAATTGATTCATTAACCGTCCCATTCTTTAATTAATCTACAACCTTCAAAAATGAAATATCAGTATGTACTATGTATCACCAACGACCACATATATCATGCACCCTTTATCCCCTGTTTTTTTATTCCCCTGTCTCTCCGTAATAATTTGTTACCTACGAAGTGTTAAATTTTATCATTTTTCGCCTTTTATATTATTGCGCCGTGCTTAATCCTAGCAATATTTCCATTGAAATGTCCAAACAATCACCATTTACATGTAACACTGAACAATCAATATGAAAAAAATACGATTTGGAATAAAAAATGAGATATTAACCCATGCATTATTACAAGTTACCATGTGTACGCAAACTACTTATTGGAATCACGAGATAAAGACTTGGTTACTGGATTACAAATGAAAGCCAAGTCAGAAGGAATTACATGCTCAAAATCCAGAGCAGCACTTTGTTCCTCAAACTTCCTTATAGTAACCAATTGCCTCATATGCACAAACTCCCCGTGATGTGCAATGACATCGTACAAAACCTTCTTCCACTCTTCATTTGCCAAACATGCATCGACAAATATCTTCAACTCATCCATCGGGTCCAAACATTCAAAACAAAGAGAAACTTCTCTGTGGCATTCCATGCACCAATTTCGATCGTAGTTTCCTTGCTGATGCTGGTATTATTCATGTGTCTTTTTCTGCGTTGTAGATCCATCCCAAACCGTTCTCAAATGAAAATATGGAAAACTCTATGAATCAAAATATATATGTATGGATGGGCAAATTATGCTCAGTTGCACGCTCTATTTCACGCTTTGTTTTAGGCTGCTTTGCGTCGATTGCCTTATATTTATAGCTAGGAGACAGGATCGACATATCAATCAAGCTCGTGACTGTTTTGCCCGTGTTTGACACCCGTGATTGGATCAGAAATTATTTGTCATGATCCCCTTCACGAGCAGCAATTTGCTGCTTCATTTTTACCAGTTTTTTTGTACTAAGTTCTGTCTGTTTGTAATAATTTTTTCTTTTCCAAATAATAATAAGACTATTATGTACGTTTTTTATTCAATAAGATTAAGATTAAACAGTCAATTCTGTGTGTATGATTAAATACTGTAAGGAAAAATGTACCTCTGTTTTATGTTTGGTTCATGTTCCTTTGTAATTTTGTAAAGGAAATTGAGTACACGCTGGAGATGGGTGCCCGCACATGATGGGTCCTGCCTTTGCCCTTTGGTATCAAAAGGTAAAACATTGACCATAACTACCCCCCCTATTACTAGCCCACATCAATGTTACAACAAAACATCAGTTTGGTGTAAGATTTGCTGAAAATAGGATTTGCTAAAGTCGCTCCCTATTATTAATTTATTATAAATAAATAATAAACACATGTCACCCTTGAATAAAAACAAATTATACTTGTGATCATATTAATTATGTAATTCCGGAAAAAAAAAAATATTTTGGTTATTATATAATACTACAAAAAAATTCCCAAAATAGAAAAAATGGGATATGAAAGGGGTTGAAACCTTTTTTTAAAAAATAAACGGGGCTGTGAAACCAAAAGAGAAAAGGATGGAGAGAGAGAGAGAATGCATGGATTTGCGGCTCTACGCACAAAGTTTTTCAACCCACTCCATCGGTTGCCCCGCATAATTCATCTAACAGTTGACTACTACTCAAATTATACCATTGAATTGAGATACTAAGTTCCGATTGAATAAATATATAACCTATGTTTATTGCTGGGTATTCGAAGTAGTAAGGTGGCATGGTGGAGCCAGTAATAGTCTCAAAGGTATATATGGATGTTCCGCGTTCGACTCACCGACTCTACTTTTTTTGGGGATATACTACCATCACCACCCGGACACACCAAATCACCATTTTCTATGTATAGTTTTAAACTACTGTAATTTAGAATAAATTTTTTTTCCTGTATAAAGGTTATTCAAAAAAAGAAGTATAAAACATTAATTGGTGTATCTAGTATTCAATTTTGTCATTTTCAAAAGGGATCCCTTTTCATGAAAATGTGTTTAGTAATATTTTCAGTAGATTGGATATTGAGTCTATTGGACGATTCTGTTGTGTGTGCAAGACCTGGGGAAGAACTTCTAAATTGCCAGATCTTGTTGCAAGAAAACATTATATGTCCTGCAATGAAAGTACAGAGCACTTGCTGACTTTCACTCAGAGAAATATTGAAATCAACGGAGATCGGATAAAGCCGGTACCAGTGGCAGAAAGGAGAATGATAATAACACATACAACTACAACAGAAGTTCAGAGTAATCTGACCATTTGTCCGGAGAGGAGAAACGAGGAGGATGATATCCACAAGATTATGCCCATTACAACTGATTTGGTGTGCTTTTTCCTTGCACATGAAATCAAATTTCTTAACCCGACGACAAGACAGATTGCAACAGTTGAGTGCCCGAAGATTATGGACTCCCTTGAAAATTGTGCAAAGGCTTTTGGGTATATATCTTCTAGAAATGAATACACCTTTATGGCACTCTGTTTCCCTCCAACTCTTGGATATTTCTATGGATGTACCCTTTTATTTGAGCCTTGTTCACGGATAGATCAAGTGCATTGGAAAGCAGTGGACAAGGTGTGTTCCTTTCGAGTTGATGACGGAATTTGGATGGACAGATATGTTTATTGGCCGATTGACAAGTCCCGCAGCGGTATGGGACCAGAGTCTACGGAGTTTCTTATTTAATTTGACACGGAGACGGAGATTTTTCAGGCAATTCATGCACCTCCAACTCCTATGTTCGTTAATGTTAATTATTTCCCTAGAGCAAAGATCTTGGATTATCGAGGGACTATGTGCGTAACTGAGGAGAATTTCATTTATATGAGAGATATGAAGTTTGAAATGTGGGCCTGAGAATCAAGTGAAGACAATTCAGAGAGTTGGAGATGGAGTAGGGTATTTGAAAATCAAAATTTCCCCATTGTCGATCTAACAGTGTATCCTGGTACTTGTCTATACATTGGTGAATGGGTATATCCTGCCATCCTCAGCCACAAATCTTCTCCTACCGGAGAATTCATTTTGAAGGGCCTCGATCCATTCCATCTTCAATTGTATTGTACTGATAGCGAAGAAGTTAAAAATATTTGCCTCCCTCTTGAGTTAGACCACAGTTATGTCATCGCAGCATGTTACTATTGGAGGACATTGACATATTTGAGAATGTGATTATTATTGTTATACCTATTTTTCTATTGTTTTTTTTTAGTCGATTAAATTTGTTTTTGGTATCAAAATTTAAATTAATCACTTGTTATAAATTATATATTCAACATAAATATTTCAAATATTGTGTTCAAAGGAATCGGATTTTTATAAGAATATATAAAAAAGAAGGGAAAATTAGCACCAACAAAGTTGGAAAATATTACTACCCCCAAAGCGGGAAAAAAATAGTAGCCAACAAGGTTCAAAATCAAGACCTCTTGAAAGGGAAAGAGATAAACAATTTACCACCAGAGCACTTGCTCCTTTAGTTCATATTTGATACGACATTTATTCAAAAAAGTAATGGTTCGTATGTAATATAGATAATTTGATATTTTATTAATAGAGTTAATTACTTTATCAATATAAAAGTATCATTTAATAAGTATCATTAATAGAGCTAATTAATTTATTAAGTGTTTTATCTCGTATTAATAACTAATTATGCATCATATCTTCATCATTTTACAATAATTATAGCCGATTAACACATTGACAAAGAACCTTAGTACTATGATTACTAATTTATTATAAATGTACATATTATTGTTAATACTATTACGCATTGCATATCATATGTACTACTGTTAAGTACTCGCATCACGTTATCCTTAATACCATACACGTATCATTTGTCATAGTGTTAGTAACATTATGGAGTGTCTTAGCATTGTTAGGTATTACAATTCATCTCTATTAGTGTTGTGGTAGTTTTAACATTGTTACGTGTTAAACACTAATTGTGATAAGATTATGTATTAATTTTCAGAATATTAGTTATATTAGTGTTGGGTTCAAGTGAAAACCATATTAGTGTTGGGTTCAAGGATGTAACTGTAACTATTGGAATTCTTATAGGAGTTGAGATTTAAAATATTAACATAGAAGGGTATTATTCAAAATTATACATATTTTAGTAAGGTTATAACTGAAAGAATTGGAATTCATTTTGGGGTTGAGATTAAAATATAACATAACGGTGCCATAATATAATTTGAAGGGTACCATAGTATAATTTTAGTAAGTGTTTTTTGTCTCAATTTGTCTCATATTAATCAACCACCACCTGGCCACCTCCACCACCAACAACCGCCGCTAGTCTATATTGCTACGCCGCCGGACCATGATTGATACTGCCGGCCGGCTACCGCCTAAATTCCGGCGTAATCGCCGAGAGTTGGACAAAATCATGCCGGTCGGTCGATGGCCAGCGTTATCCCGGCGACGTAGTTGGGTGGTGAAGGTGGTCCGGCGGCGGTAGAAAAAAAAGTATGGTGGGTGCCTTTGGGTTATTCATTTTTTCACTACCTAATCTATGCCCTAATCTACCAGCATTCAAAGTTCGAATATTTTCTTGGTTTATGAGATTTCGTGTTGTCAAATCAACATCATTGCCGTATCAAACACTGTGGAAAGAGAGGCTGTCCATATTCCACAAATGACAACCCCATTTATTTTCTTCAACCCTTCGTAGGCAGTTTGTGGAGTAAATCATGTACCAACTACCAAGGTCAGTGCATAGAATTTGTATCTATGAAAGGAATTAATGGGTTAAAGTAAAGGCATTTCAGTTGATTATGAAGAAAATATATATATATATATATACTATAAAAAAATAATTGAAATGTTGTAATGCAATATATATATATATATATTGCATTACAACATTTCAATTATTTTTTTATAATATACGTCTTTTGCATAATAATGTCACTTTCAAATTTGCTCTTCCTACATTGTACAATGGGTTTAAATTTGTCAGTAATATAATAACAATATAGAAATGTATCCATTTGTCTATATTAAAGAGTGAATAGATATATTGAATCAGTGGTGAAATTGAAACAGTGGATTTGGAAAACTGGTCAACCAGTAATAGATGAAGGGGTCAAAAGAAAATGAGAGGTCCAATAAATAATCGCCACATCAGATCAAAAAAAAAACTTATATAGTTAATAACTGAATCTCAAGCAACAGTAGTTCCACATTGTCTCCAACATTAGAGGTATACTACCCTTCTTGGATTCACTGGGAATTTAAAGGGCTTTCTGGAAGGGGCAAGGATTCTTGTTTTGAAAGGTCCGAATTTTTCGGTTAATTTTTTGTTATTGAATACATTAATTTGTATCTTTATTATTTTTTTTTGTTTGTTTTGGGGGCGTACTGGGTGTATGAAAATTGGCTTTTTAATGGGTGAGATTCTATTTCGTTGTAGTTCTATGTGAATTGATGGAGGGATTAAAAAATCTTTTTATCTTTACTAGATGGTTAAAAACTGGACTATGAAAAGATCTGGGGAGTGGAAATCTACAGCCAGTGGAATGGGGTCCGAAAAACCCAAGGCCAAGTTCTATAAAATTATTGATCGGCCTGTTTCAGAAGGAATTGTAAGTGTTAATTTATTGAATCTAAGTTTTTCCCAAATTGTTTATAAATCCATACAGTTATATGAAACCTATGTTTACGTATGTTAGTGGATTCCATCAGCTTTTATGTATAAACATGGGCATAAATTTGGTGAGGTGGTTACTTTGAAAGACTGCTGTGGTGGTAAATGGAAGGTTACCTTATGCCATACAGACACGGGAACTAAATTAATGGGCCAAGATATGATGAAATTTGAACAGGAGAGAGGAATTGCTATAAACTATATGCTTGTTTTTACAATGAAGGACAATGCCAAGTTGAGGGTTGGTATATTTGATGACACTGCCATAGAAGTAGACTACAGTGGTAAATGTAATGGCCGGCGCCGAGATAAAGATAAAGGTAATATGATTAATCAATTCTGTGTGTTTTTTCTGTGATTATGAATTAAAAAAATATCACAGCTTGATGATTTTGTTGTAGTTCCCCTTTAACAATTGTTGAGAAGGTCTAATTATGATTGTTGTTTTCAGAACCAAGGTCCCAATAATAGGATGCTGCTTTTCCGTGGTTCGAGTTTAAAGTCAAGAAGAGCATACTCAGTTACCCATTTCAGTTGGTTATTACAAGAAATTTATTCATTTTTTCACTTCCGTTTGACGTGGTTTCATATTTATACTGTTACATGGTTCTCTTATTTGTGAGAATTGTTGTTAGATTTTTGCAGCATGTACTGGTTGCTTTGTCAAAACTCACCTAACCGGGGAGGAACGAAAGACCCAAATTGTGATAGAATATGCTCAATCTGAAAAGGAATGGAGTTTTGTGCTAGATGTTTAAGGGGTCAAAGGAAAGATTTCTGGTGTTGATTCTTGGAAACAGTTGGTCCAAGAGATGAACATTGGCATGGGTCAGTTATGCGGATTGGAATGGCTCAAAGGGACTAACTTGTTTTTCTTCAACATCTTGTAAATCAACCATTTGTAACTCTAGGGATTTATAGTTTTTGTGAATGGTTCCCATTAGTAGTTGGACATTATGGGTGTATTGTAGTATTTTGATTATGTCCCATGTCTTTAGTTGGGCATTATAGTTCTATTTTAGTACTTTTGACTATATCCCATGTCTTTTCAATTAGGCTAATGAAAAATCCAGGAGTGATAGTACTTAAATCCAAGACTAATTTAAGTCAAACCAACTTTTGCCCTTATATCATGTTTCCCAAACTGATATTTTTGATAGTTTTTGTCAAAAAGATATAATGTTAATTTTAGATTGATTTCATTGATGATTATCAAATCGATATATATATATATATAAATAAAATAATAATAATAATAATAATAATAATAAGACAAAAATGCGAAAAAAGAAAAACAAAAAGAAAACCAAAACAATCGGGGAAGGCTGAAAGCAGCAAAAAAAAAAAAAAAAAACCAAGGACAAAAGGGAAAATGGAAAGGGCAACCCGTTTGTGTTATACCCTGAAAACGATCCGGTTTAGACCCGTGAGATATTTTAAGTCCCTTGAATCTGATGAACCCTGATCCCATTTTTCCTGTTGAATGACGACCCTTATGCGACTTCCATTCAATAAAAGAACGTTGACACCGTTTTCAGGAACCCTAATTCCACTTTAGTTGGGCTTTTAAAATGGTGTATGGTAAAAACGACTTCGTTTCAGCTATTACTTCAAAAACCAAAGGACTAAAAACCATTATATTTCAAGAACACAACAATTCAAGAACACGTGAGACTTTTAACGACCCTTATGAGACTTTCATTCAATAAAAGAACGTTGACACCGTTTTCAGGAACCCTGATTCTACTTTAGTTGGGCTTTTAAAATGGTGTATGGTAAAAACGACGTCGTTTCAGCTATTATTTCAAAAACCAAAGGACTAAAAACCACTACATTTCAAGAACATAACACACTTTTAAAATCCGACTCCCTCCAAATATATAAGGTACATAACACAATGTTCAAAAACCAAATTAACCTAAAACAAAGCATTCATCCACATCACATGTCTTCCCAGGATTTTGTTTTTAAAACAATTACATGACAGTCAACCAGGAGTGGCAGAGCAGGTGTCCTAGAGACCTTGGATTTCATCGAAACTTTTGATGGTTGCACACGTGTGAAGTTTCCTCCCAACGATTCCAGTGGACGCGTAATCATCTTCTTGAGCAACCCAGGCATATAGGGAATCATTGTGAGTACCAGACCCTTCCCAATCCTGCTTCCCATAGTGATCATTCTTATAAGCCTAATGAAATGCATGAGCATCCGTTAATCCATCAAAACCACTTCTAAAATGAGCAATACCTATTCTCGAGTGGCCAGTTTCATCATTCCACAGTGGCTCCACTTTTGTCGGATTAAAACCTTCAAACAAATACTTTTCACGCAGAACCCTGCCACTCAGTCCAACAAACTTCCCACAATCGAGTTTTCTAGGCAGGTTAACAACAACAGCCATTGGAGGGTAAACAAAGCGGTCCTGTGGATTGTGAGATTGAAGGGGATCCACCGCTACTTCTGCATGAGGAACTGCCAGCACTGGTATTTCAGCGCGATCATCTGCATGAGGGACGGGTACGAGATCATCTTGTAAATATCTCGCCAATGCAAGATGATTCGCTGGCTTTTGCGTAGAATTTTTCCCCGAATGACCCGCCCCATTTGCATGCTGTAGAATGTCAATGTATTCAAACTTGCTCCTTTTTTTACCTTTACAAAAAGGGAAAGTAAATTTGTTCCCACGAACTCAAACTTCCTGACCTCCATTTCTTCGAAGAATTATACAAAGTATCTGTCCGTTCATCAAGCTCTGACTCACTGAAAACATTATCATCTTCAGAGCTAGAGTGCGATCTTTTTGATATCTAAAAAGAAAATATTTGTTCAAGTACTCATAACCCCCCAAAAAACAAATGTATGAAACAAACATGAAGGTCCCTTCCTCCTTTTTAAAAATTGCCTCATCTATATGAAAAAAGACATGATGGTCTCTTTATCGCTGACTATTTCGCTGACAATGACATTTGGTACAAAACCCAATGAGGTGGTTTCGGGTTTCATCTATATTCCTGACAGTTACAATACAATATTCAAAAGAGAGAAGGATAAGATATCCTACTTCTCTTAAAACAACAAACATTTTTCAAATCCTAAACACTAACGTGACAAATAATTGGAGTATATAGTTCGTTTTAATGGAATATTCAAATGCATAGTAATTATCGGGACCACAACATCTTACTACAACAGGAGAACAGAATTATTGTCCCAGATCTACGTAAAAAAATGCATAGAAACAAAAGTGAGAAGGATAAGAAAGGGATTTTTGCAAGTACCTTATTAGAATTGGGGTTTCTAGTCAGATTTGGGAAAGGATAGTTGGAGATGCGTCCCAGAAGGTTGACCTAAATCGACAAACAATCGGAAAAAGGAAAGTAATGGTCCCTTTGTATTATATCCTCCAATTTATTGTGTGGTGGGAGATGAAGCGGAATGACAAATTAAATGCACCTTTTCACTTTTAAAAAGAAAAAGAAAATAAAACTATAAAAAAATAACTGTACCTTTCATATTGGCCTATTGGGATTTGGGGGACTAAAAGGTACAATTGTACACCACTTTGGCTACATGACCTCTCATTTGGAAGGAATTATTTTCCTGCTCATATATATTGTAGGTTTAAATCCCATTATCATTTCTAGCTTCCTAAAACAAAAAGAAAACCCCCTCGATCCAAACAACATCTCCAGTCACATTTTAAATTACACGTCAAACAAATAACTAGTAATTGGTTGTCCACATAACTAAATCAAAAATTTAAATACTCCCGAGAAGTAGTTTTAGTACAATCATCCCAAACATATTGCTAGATGCTGCTGAAGAAAGCAAACCTAATGTTCAAATTACAGCCATCATGAGCGAAAAAGTACAATGATCCCAAGCATATTGCTACAACGTCTCTTCCAGTTCAGAGATTAGACATTCTGAATACAAACCATCTTAGTATTTGGCATATTAGATGCTATGTCAAGAGTTAACTGCACAGGATGGTCCTCTTGGAACAGGTTGTCTTCAAAGAACTTTTTCCAGTTCCCGGATAATTCCTTCTAAACTGTAGAACCACGGGTATCCGTTGTGGTTGTTATCCGGAATTGTGCTGCTTCCACTAGACCTTCAACCCTGACAACTTCTTTTGCCTGAAGTGCGTGGCAACGCACAAATTTGACTGGAATGTTCTGCACTCACCAATCATGCATAAAATATTGTGTCACAACTCACAACTATGATCATTACATAAACAAAAAAAAACAATACTCACCATTTGATATCTAAGCCTTGCGTGACCGACCAACACCCAGTTTAAAGCTATTGTCAGGGTTGTACTCCAAGTTTTGTCCCGAATTCTCTCCCCCTGGCCTGATGTCATCTGCTTCTCTATCACCGTCACATCCCTATAAAATGAATGGAGAATCAGTTTAGTGCAGGATTACACCAATCCCTTGCAAAAATTCTAACTTCCAAACCCTACAGAACAACAAAATCAAAAGCATGAGACTGGTCATTTCGTGCCTGATCTTCCTCCTGTAGACCAATATCAATTGGAGAAGTTGCTGAGCTTCCTGCACCCCCCACGGGAGATTGTGTCCACAACAACCTCCCCCTAAGTCTGCTGCTAAATCTCCTCAGACTGGGTGTAGTAGGACCTAGATTCTCTTCACTGACCTTGCTACATCGGCCCATTTTCTTTCGAGTAGGGGACAGTTTTGACAGCTACCACAAGATGAATGTAAAAACGCGTTAATAATTGTTTAAGCATTCTCAAGAAAATGAACATGGTCAACTGTAAATGATACAACAGGCGTACCATTTCCATTGCGGGTGATGCTTTGTTGGGGTCTTCATGGGGCTGTGACTCTACCACCGGTGCAATGACGGAGTTCCCTACGTCCTCAGGTTGACGATTATTTTTTGTTGCCTTCTATCAACATTAGAAAACAACCAATTTTTTAGTTTTTGTTCATTTTCTGATGACAATCACATTCCTTGTGCTTCTGCACATTCATGTACGAGGTATCAAGAACAATCACAAAATGAACATTTCATGCTTAACCGAGTACACTCCTCCCACTCTCCATGTTAAAACTCCCCATGACAGTGTCACAATTCCATCCAGATCCCGAACACTGATCCCAAAAACTGTAAGTTTGTTCGAAATCATCACGAACTAAGTTGAGTGTCTCTACTGCTAGTTCATCAGGTGCAGTAATGACCTTCAATGATTCCTCATTCTGATCTTTCCTTTCATCCATGTCTAAATTCCCTGAGCAGTCTGCACGTGGTTCAAGAGCACTGTCTGCTGCATTATCATGCTCTTCGTCAGAAGTTTCATTTGCTATCCAACGTGTCAACTGTTCTTCAGGGCATTTAACTCTCCGATGACTGGTCATTTGACAATATTCACATGGCAAAGCTTCTGCATCTGGAACAACATTTTCTGCTTCTCCATCCACCGTAGTGGTCACTGGAACATCTTCACCTACATATTCATCAAGAATCTGAAATTTTCCTTTCCGCCTAGTTCTGGGCACCCGGATAACAGGAAAATCTTCAACATCATCTTCAACAAGAATCTGTATTTCTTTCCGCTTAGTTATGGACACCGGGATACCAGGATCATTTTCATCTTCATCACGAAGATGAAATTTTCCTTTCTCCTTACTTTTGGACACCAGGACCACGGGATAATTTTCATCTCCATCAAGAACCTGATTTTTTCCTTTCTCCTTACTTCTAGAAATTTTCCTTTCTCCTTACTTTCGGACACCAGGACCACGGGATAATTTTCATCTCCATCAAGAACCTGATTTTTTCCTTTCTCCTTACTTCTGGACACCAGGACCACAGGATCATTTTCATCTCCATCAAGAACCTGCTTTTTTCCTTTCTCCTTACTTCTAGACACCAGGACCACGGGATCATTTTTATCTCCATCAGGAACCTAATTCACGCTCATTTTCGTCTTCATTGCAAAGCTGGAAATTTCCTTTACGTTTCTTATTCCGCTTCTGTTGAGCACCCTTTTGAATTTGTTGCCAACCCTTACCCTAGTGCCATAATGATGGGGACAAGACATCGTGGTTTGGTTTAAAAGTATGGAACAACAACAACAAAGTCCGCAAACAAGAATGTAAAAAAAGATATTCTTCTATGCAATCACAATGCACTTTAGATTTATGCATAACAATCAGAGTATTAACTCCATAGAATATGCAAGTTTAGTATTCCATAAAGTTAAAGTTAAAACCGAAATATGAAGGTTTCATACGAAGGTTACCTTTTCTTGCTTGGCTGCTTCCTTCTTCTTTTCCAATCTCATTTTTAGTGCTGGACAAGACTTTGGTTTGTGCCCCCTGCGTTTGCAGTATTGATATTGATTGTTCGGGAGTGCTTTCCTACCTCTTCCCTTTTGTTTACCCGTCTGTCAATTATAAAGTCATTCAAACCAACACAATCGAGAACTCATAACCTTTTAAGAGCATATACAAATACAAAAGCTTACATCATTAGCCAAAGGTTCAACTACAACCCGTTTGCGCGGTTTGCCCCGCTGTTTGGGTGCTGCTCGCTTCTGCCCACCTAAGGGCCTCTTACTCTCCTTGCCATCATTCTGCATAAAATTCCAAACTTTCAATTATTATCGCAAATAATGGTACATAAACACACAACACAGTAAAAAAAATACATTTCCACATGATAATTACCTGTTTCAAATCTGGGCTGCTTTTCCTACTATGCCCCATACCCTGACAATTACCGCACTTACTGTGTCCTGGGCCCACCTTCCCACTGGCCTTATACCAACCTTTTTGGTTCATGTATACCCGATGGGGTTCATCATGTCGCTTGTTCCTGCTGCTTTTCACTCTTCCTGGCATGGGTCTAAACTCTAGAGGCAATAGGGGTGGGTCTGATATCCACTTCCAAAATTTAGGACAATTCAACCCCCGGATACTATTTGCATATGCTCTCAGGTACATCTCCTTTGAGTACCATCTGTCAACATAATCTTCCACCTTTCTCCCATCATCAAGAATGCACCTTACTGCATAAGGCATGGAATACCAGACAAATCCCACTTCTGGCAAGCACAACTCAGATCTCCCAATCTAAGGCACACAACAACCTGTTCATTTACCCCCTTCACCTTATACTCACTATCACCACAATATTCTGCAACATAACAATGAGATTCTTCCCAGGATTCCACTAAACGGGCCTTGATTTTGTTGCCAAATTCAAATGGTGAATTTTCAATCCGCTCCCTAGTCTGGCGGTATTTAACCATCAAGTATCGCCTCAAGCCTCAACCACTCCAACAACTCAAGGACTGGTAGTTTACGAGCTTTTACCAAAACACTGTTGAAGCCTTCACATATGTTGTTCACCAACATGTCACACTTTGTCTCAGTAAAGAAATGTGACCTGCACCAGTGACTTTCTCCTATTTCATGAAGATACCTCCATGCTCCTTCATGTTTCTTCTTCAAATCATCCATCAGCTTGTTCCGTTCCTCTTCAGTTGTTGGTTTCACAATATTCGTCAATCTGGCTTTCAATTTCAATCCGGGGTGCTTTAGCTTGAAATTATTCCATAAGTGCTCCACACAGTATACGTGGCACACATTTTTCAGAAGTGTAGCAACAGCTGGAAGAATACCCTGAAAAAATAATTCATGTCAAAGCCTTAACATCAACACCAAATTTTAGTATCATGAATACAATTGCTTTACACTCATTTAGATTCTCAATGGATATGCCTGTTATTAAACACAAATTTAAAATTTACTCTTGTACCTTTTGCCGGTCTTACATGATGACCCTTTCAGATGTATCAGTTATTCCCAAGTCATTAATGTGGTATCGAAAAACCACTTCCACGAATCTTCATTCTCTATCTCAATAATAGCAAATGCAATAGGATATATCTGGTTATTAGCATCGTATCCCACAGCTACAAGGAGCTGGCCCGCAGTTGGAGTCTTCGAGAAGGTCCTATCTACACCAATCAGTTTCCTACATCCTTCATTGAAACCCTTTTTAAAGGCTGCTAAACACGTGTACAATCTCTAGAACCTACAGGGATCCTCTTTCCTAGTCATAAGCTTAATTGTGCTACCTGGGTTTGTCTTTTCCACTTTAGCCAAATACGATTCCAAATATGCATAATTCTCCATAATAGTACCTTTGTTTATGTCAAGCGCCTTCTTCTTAGCCCTACAGGCCTGGCTTCTTGAGATCTTCAATCCATGGTCCTTCTTAACCTTATGTTTAATGAAGCGAGGACTGAGGGTAGGCACCACTGCCAAATCTTTAAGGTACCACTCGGCAACCACATGGGCAGTACAGTTCCTTGTTTTATCTAGTCTCGGACAAGTGTGTTTGTCTTGGTGAGTCCTAATCTGAAACGTCAGTTCATTTGGAGTCACCCTAACTACATACAGTACCCAGCTGCATCCCTCCCTTTTGCAAATTGCCCTAACATACTTGGAGTCATGCTTTTTGAAGCTTATTTGTCGCCTATCAGCAACTAAATGGAGCTTGATATATTTAATAAGTTGCCATTTATCCTCAAAGTCATGCCATACCTCAAACCCTGGATATCTCATATCATCCGCATGTACATACCTTCTTCCCTTCTTTAAATTCTTTCCACCTCTATTTGGATCCTCTGCAAATGATTCCTCTTATATATTTCTGGACCTTAACGATTCAAATGAGCCACAATCAGCCTCATGATCATAGCCTTTCACCTCATCCAATTTTGGGTCCTTTTCAAACAAACACCACGATTGAACATGAACCGCTGCATCAGCTTTTTTTCTCGGTACTCAAGATCCATGTTGCCTGCATCATGATCACTGTCTTCGACATGATCTCGATCGACATAATCATAATCCACTTCAACCCCAATTTTTTAAACTCCACCATAATCAGATTTAGAATCACCAAAATCAGACTTAAAAGTAGAAGCACCATCAGAATCACCTGAATATTCACTGTCATCATCGCCATAATCCAGATCCTCAATATCATACTCATCATGTCCACTATTATCAGGACAATCACCCTATTCCTCGATGACGTTTGAACACTGGCCAATTAAAGGATCCGCATCTCCTGGGCCAGTCCTGTATACATCTATCCCCCGCAGTCTCTGAACTGTACTGTCCCCAATGGTGTACCTTAACATCCTCACATCTAAGTAAATGCTTATATCCAGAATGTTTAACCCTATTTCTATCCTTATAAAACAATCTGTGGGGTCCGTTACTACTAACCCTATCAAAATATGACTCCAGAGACTCCACGGTACTACTGGGTTCATCTATGAAGTCGAAAAAATTAACTCTGCCACCAACATACTTCAACTCAGAAGTCATCTGAAAACTTCCCCCATGGTGGATTTATGCAGTTATTTGCTTCGCCTCATCACCTATTAATCAACATCACTACATTCGGTTCATCAAAATCCAATATACACAGTAACTATAAATTAGGTTTATAGCCTTTCATAATGCAACTAAATCAAATAACATAACCATGTGTAAAAAATACAGATCTATGCATCAATCTACTGAAAGAAGAAAAATTTATTATCTGGTTCGAAGCATATCAATCGAAAAAAACTTACGGTATAGTGGGATATCTGGTTGTTCAGGGTTCATATCGCAGATCCATTTAAGATCAATATCCACACCCTGCAATAAACCCACCATTCTTGAGTCTGAATTCATTCACGAACTGAAAGAGTTGATGGATTCCTTCAATTCATCTGGAACTCAAGTTTCAGCTGGCAACCCTCGTTTGTCGATACGGTCGAAGTTATTTCTCCCGTCTTTGAGTCAAAGACAAGTTTCAACTTTATGAAAACCAAGTTGAACCAAGTCAACTAAGTACTATATGTATTTTAATATACTCATTTGTCTACGTGCACCATCCCTCATCGTTCGTTCCGAAAAAATAGGAGATGGCCAATATTATGCAAAAGACAATTTTACCCCTCCGCATGCATACTACCTTCCGTTACGGTTTCTTCTGGCACAAAGACGAAAAGTACCCAAAAAACACTTTCCTTATTAATTGGGGTTGACTTTTAATGTTTTTAACAAATGGGGTAAGACCGGAATGAGCCGAAAATAATTGGGGTTATTTTTGCAATGAGGCCATGATTTTATGTGATTTATAGAAAAATTTGTCTTTGCTGAATTTTTTTAATAAATATGATTTCGTTAGTATTCAGTTAGGGATCTCGTTAGTTATCAATTAGGTCACTTCTTTTAAGCCGAATGATTCTGAACTTTAATAAATGTGACTATCTAGATGAGAACCGACCAATAATGGATGCGTGAGCGACATTTAAAAGGGCGTAGGCCCTTTAATCCAGAATTTTTATCCGATGTTGATCCATTCATTGAATATGTTTCTTCAAAACCTTCCTTCATGGACATTAACAAGATATGGTACTCTTGTGTTTTATGTAAGAACAAAAGATGTCTTTTACCCGATGAAGTTAAGTTGCACCTTCTTTAGAAGAGTTTCATTGATGATTACGATGATTGGGTTTTCCATGAAGAAGAACCTAGGGGATCGACTTCATCGCTAACCCATCACAATGAGGGAAATGTGATAGGATCAAATACATACCGTGACATGATCATTGATATGATTTGTCCTACATTTGATCCAAACTTTGGGGAAAGTGGTGCCGATGAAGAACCTCCCCGATCCAAAAACTCAAAGGTTGTATGAAATGCTCCAAAAGGCCGATGAACCCCTATATCCGGGATGTTCAAAAGTCTCTCAATTGTCCCATGTAGCTAGATTGTTAAATATCAAGTTGCAACATGGGTTGTCGGAGAAGGCCTACGATGATATCTTGGAGTTATTCAAGGATTCAATTCCACCGGAAAATAAATTGGTGGATAGCTTTTATGAAACAAAGAAGCTAGCTTCTGATTTGGGTCTCCTATATGAGAAGATCCATTATTGTGTAAAAGGATGCATGTTATATTGGGGTGATAACATAGGCTTGATGGATTGCACAATTTGTGGCCATCCACGGTATAAACCATGGGAGGAAGGTTCTAAGGGATGAAAAACCCAACACCCATATCAAATCATGCATTACTTTCTTCTAACTCCTCGGCTTCAAAGGTTATATGCTTCCAAATACAAGACAAAGCACATGCGGTGGCATAAAGAGCATGATAAACAAGGTGTTATGCGTCATCCTTTGGATGCCAAGGCAGGGAAGCACTAGAGTTGAGAAACGTAATACTCGGTTTATGCACGGATGGATTTCAACCATTTGGTCAATCGGGGAAGCAATATTCATGTTGGCCGGTTATTATTACCCCGTATAATTTGCCACCACGGATGTGTATGAAAGAGGAATACATTTTTTTAACTATTATTGTGTCGGGCTCGAAAAATCTAGAGCAAAAGCTAGATGGTTACCTGCAACCTTAAATTGCGGAATTGATAGCTCGTTGGGAAAAGTGTTCCAACATATGTTGTTTCAACTAAAAATAACTTCCATATGAGAGCCACCCTTATGTGGACCATTAGTGATTTCCCGACTTATGGAATGTTGTCTGGGTGAAGCATCGCGGGAAAAAAGCTTGTCCATATTGTATGGAGCACTCAAATGCCTTTAGTTTATCTAATGGCAATAAAGTGTCTTGGTTTGATTGCCATCGCCAATTTTTGCCGGAGAGTCATTCTTTTAGAAGAAATAAAAATGATTTCAAGAAAAATAGAACTGAAGAATCTCTACCTCTTCCAATATTGAAGGGTGATGATGTCCTTAGACAAATTTCAAATTTGGGGCTAAATAAAATAACCGAAGTTGATGGTTAGTAGTGGAATGCTCCGATATGCAAGTCTTGTGGTTAGAAAAAAAGAGTATATTTTGGGATTTGCCGTATTCGATTACTAACCTTATCTGTCACAATCTTGATGTCATACACATTGAGAAAAATGTATTTGAGAATGTATTTGATACGGTGATGGACATTGAAGGAATAACTAAAGATAATGTGAAATCAAGAGAGGA